TTCTTTACTTTGAGGGTGACAGAGCACTGGAACAGGCTGCCCAGGGAGGTTGTGGAGTCTCCTTCTCTGGAGATATTCAAAGCCCGCCTGGATGAAGTCCTGTGTAGATTGCTCTAGGAGAGCCTGCTCTAGCAGGGGGGTTGGACTGGATGATCTCCTGAGGTCCCTTCCAACCCTTGCGATTCTGTGATTCTGTGATTCTGTGATCTACCTGCAATTCAGGAACTGAAGTATACTGATATACAATCAACTGCTAAAGGGGCAGAATCACCTCCCTTGACCTGCTGGCCACGCTTCTCTTGACGCAGCCCAGGGTACGGTCTGGCCCTGACACACTGCTGGCTTATGGCGAGCTTTTTGTCCATAGGTACCCTCAAGTCCCTCTCAGCAGGACTGCTCTCGATCCCAGCCAGTATTGATACTGGGGGTTACCCCAACCCAGTTGCATTGATGCATGACATAAATCCCCAGCGGTTTCCAGTAAGGCTGATTTGGCTTGGCTCCTTAAATGGAAATATTTGGACCTCAGTGAGATTTTAAGCAAAAATTGAATGACAATTTCAGTATAAATTCTATATTTTATTTAATAAGGAGACTATGAAATGACCAGAGTTGCATTTACAGCAGTGTCATACAGAATTAAACTTGGCTACAGTTAGAATATGATTGTGTTAAGCTTTGTTTCCATGGAAAATGGCTCATTTTATCTCCAGGTCAAAGTGCTTTCAGTGAAAGTTTTGATATGATCAAAGGAAACTGGTAATATATATATATATTTAATTTAAAATTAATTTTAATCATTTAAAATTTAATATTCTATTTTCTTTTTTTTTAATATATTTTCTTCATAACTCTGTTAGATGTCTATACTAATTTTTCCCATTTTGATCAGGGTGGTTTATATCAGTTCATGGTATTAGGTAATCTTATTTTATTTGCTGTCAATCAAATACATCCTCCCCCCCAGAAAAAAAGAACTCTTCCCTATCCATTGCTTCATGAGTCTTTGAACAGTAACCACACAAACACTCACATGTTGTGAATTTATGGATAGCTACATCTATAGTGGTACTCTGAGCTAAAGTCAGCACCAGTGACAAATTACCTCCCCAGCAAAATTCTGCAGATTGCTCATAATGGTAATTTTATAAAGAATCACAACATCTTACACTGGTGGTAGCTATATAAAAGGCCCAGTGAATTTTATAAATACATATTGTACACAAGAAAAGCTTGGAGTTTCACAGATCAATCATCACTAGTCTAGTCTAGAGCAGAACTGATTATTTACAATCCACAATATAAGAGCAAGCTCTTCTAAAATACTTTTTCAGCCTTGCTGATGAGAAGCCTCAGTTTCATGAGGTCTCATAGGAAAATTCAGGTCTGTCCCTTGCACAGTGTAAAAGCTTCAGCTAATTTTTGCCTCAAAATTTGCAGACTGCAGTGTTCACACTTTCCATGCTGGGGCAAACCTTTATTAATGAACAAAGATTTTCTTAATCAATTCTAAGAAATAGTAAGTGTTGACTGTATTGAAATATTTTTATTCAGACTTTCATAGAAGAATGCACTAAGCAAAAAGATCCAGCAAGTCTCTGGAACATTTTCTTTATCTCCTACAACATCTGCATGTCTGTATATGTTAGCAAAACAACCCAAAGAAGTGTATCATCAGATTCTGATCTAGTAGAATGGGATTCTGCATCCATAAATATCTGTCATTTAGACTGGAGTTTGCATGCAGCTGTCCTTCATTTCTCTGCTACTGTGATTTAAATAATTGTGTAGTCTCCCAGGCTGTATTTACATCTACCTGCTGGACATGCTGCAGTGAACTGGAGGAATTTGATCCTTGGGTATCCCACATTGGTCACCTGGAAATACACTGAGTTTCCAATCATGGAATGCAGGACAAAGAACAAAGAAGGGAGAAGGAAGCCTTCATCTTGATAAAAGCACTTAGTTTTATTAAAGGTTCATGTTAAGGTCCCAACTTGAAATTGCTATGCCAAGAACTTTCAGTATCTGGTATCAAGATTTAGTGCTATACTGACAAACTAAAGAGTGACTATAAACAAGCTACATTTAAGAAAGAAAGGTAGACAAGTGGAACAGGGAGAAAGGGCTTCCACCTGAAAACATTCTCAAATAAGACCACAGGACTTAATCTGAGCTGTTCACAAAGATGTAGAGCAGGAAATTATTCATCCCCACCCCCCCCACCCCACCAACTTCTCAATGAGAAAGACAGTATTACCCAATCTTTCTTTCCAGCTTTGAACAGAAGCATCTTCCCCCTTCCACCTACAGCTCATAAAAAGAAGGATGGGATGGTCAGCTTCTATATTTGTTATGCATTAATTTGCTTCAATAGAACAAGAGTTCAGGTGACGTCTCTTCTCCTTTGATTAACTTATCAGCTTGACATTTTTTCTTATGATATTTTTAAACTGTGTCTTTTTGTTTGTTTGTGACTATAAATAAAATTATCTGAAAAAAATGCATCTTGAATGACAGCATGGACATTCAGCACTCATTACAAGCACTGGAAATCTCACTTAAAATTCCCATTATTATATTTAATACACTGGGCTGCTAATAAATCCATTCATAAAAGGACAAGAAAAACGGTTCTTTACAGACTTCTGTTTTCTTTACTAGGCTTCCCTCATGGGTTGGTGAGTGAACTATATTTTGTTTATTTTGTGCTGTTAATATTCCTTCTTTTTTTATAAGGGCCCAAAGAATGTTTGCATGAAGTTTTACAGTCATCTGAATAATTTTATAAAAAAAATTCATTTGGTTATTTGAGAATGGCCTGTAACACATGTATTATTATTTTAAAATTTATGAGCTAGTTTAAAATCTTAGTGAAAAGATGCAGTCATATAGCTCCTGCTTTCAAAATATATGTTTAGCTAGTTAAACAATAGGGCTTTTTTGGAGGGCGTTTCTGTTTTTATCAAATAACAATCTTCTAATCAAGCCAGCCT